CTTGGAGCTGCCTTTCTATCCCCGAGGTTCCTCTAACTCGAGGGAAACCTCAACCCCTGCTTCAGAACATCCTCATTCGGTCTTTGCTCCTCATCCTTGGAGCCAACTCCTGACACTCTCTCCTAAACCAAGCTGGTGTACAATAGAAATTCAGCGTCTATCCCTGTTGCCCGGGTCAGGTTCCCCTACCCTTCACCGCAGCCACACGCACAGAGCTCCTCTGCTGGTCAGTAACTGTGAGGCTACTGGGACTCTGAAATATCAGACAGCCAGAAAAGCTGCTATGGTCTGAGCATCCCGAGCCCAAAAACCCAAACCCTGAAATGTTCTGAAATCCAAAAGTTATTGCTCAAGAAGTTTTGACTTTTGGAAAATTTTACACTTCAGTTTTTGTTGTTGTTGTTTGTTTTTGAATTAAAGATCCTCAGCCAGTATTCTGTTAATGTTCTAAAATATATAAAATTTGGAACACTTCTGGTTCCAAACATTTCAGACAAGGAATACTCAGCCTGTCAGAGTGGACAAATGAGTGATGGACCACTTTGAATCCACTCGTGAGTTATATTTTGCCTACAATTTTAAGAATGTTTGAGAAGTGAAAAAGCGAGTGAGTGAGCCCATGACTCCCCAGTTGCATGCAGCTATTGGGATGAATGGGGGCTGGAAATAGCCAGGAGCCGAGCATGCCTTCCGGTCTCGGGTGGCAGGAACCCAGGTACTTGACCCTTGACCCTAAGCTGCGGTCAGCAGTCAGATCCACTCTGATATGGGACATAGGTGTTATAATCAGAGTTGTAACTGCCATACCAAATTACCGCCCCCCACATAAAAAAAAATAATAAAGACCTATTTGTGGGGCTGACGCCACAGCGTAGGTTAAGCTTCTGTCTGAAGTGCTGGCCTCCCATATGGGCACTAGTTCAAGTCATGGTTGCCCCACTTCCAATCCAGCTCCATGCTAATGTGCTGGTGAAAGCAGTGGAAAATGGCCAAAATCTTTGAGTCTGTGCTCCTACATGGGAGACCCAGAGGAGGCTCCTGGCTCCTGACCAGCCCAGCTCCAGCTGTTGTGGCCATTTAGGGAGTGAATAGTTAAGTGGAAAGTGTCTGTGCTGCCGCCGCCTCTCTCTCTGTAACTCTTCCTTTTAAATAAAAAATATGTAAATCTCAACCAAAGGAACATTTATTTGAAAGACAGAGTATCAGAGTGAAAGAGGAGAGAGTAGAGGGAGAAAATTTCCCATTTGCTGGTTCACTTTCTAAGTGCCCCCAGCAGCCAGGGCTGGAGCAAGCCAAGCCGGGAATCGGGAACTCCACCTGAGTCTCCGTGGTCAGAGGACCCGAGCGCTTGAGTCAGCCTCTGCTGCCTGCAGGTGCATTCTCTGGGGGCTGTGTTGGAAACTGAGGTGAGACTCGATCCCAAGCACTCCAAGACAGAAGTGGGGTTCACAGGTCATAACTATTTATTCTGCCACAAAGCCCATCGCCTGTACACTTACTTTTGTGAAAGCGTGGAATTTGTTGTAAACCTTTGAAAACTCCATGATTTTGCATAAAATTCCAGACTTGGAAAAATCTGGCCCGTCGTTTTCCTGTCTAGTAACAAGTAGCAGCTATTCCCAAGATGACACAGGGGCTCTGTGTCTCCATGATCCCCCTACTCCTCTCACTTACGTCACCAGTGTGGCCTTGCAAGCATCTCTTTATCAATCTACCCCTCCCCACTTAAACCCTGGAAACAGCTAAAACTGAATTTCTGGATCTCTATACCTTTCTTTATTATTTTCTCCTGACTCAACATTTGGCATTTTTTTTTCTCCCAGAAAATTGGGCATACGCTTTTGAAAACTGGAGAGAAATCAGTCTCCAAAATGTCAGGAAACAGCTGATGTTGCTTGTTCCTTGGGGGCATCTTGATTTCCCTTGCTGCGTGCCATATTGGCACTTGCTTGGGAGAGCTGCAGGCTGCACACAGGCTCCCCAGGGAGCAGCTGTTGGGCTGCCTGATTGAGGCACCGAGCCATGCAGAGGACAATTAAATGGAGTATTGGATACAGATCGATTTGAACAGTTTCTATTACCATGTTGTGAGCTGACTTCGTTTGTGAGCACTAGACATGGCTCCCATCTCACTGTGCTTGTGCTATACAATGAGACCCAGCATAGAAATGTTCTCAGTGGCATTATTTGTCACCTCCAGATTGGCTCCACTGTGCTTGCTAACGCTGAAATCTGACCCCTGCGTCCTCCATTGTCTAACCATGTAACATCCCTGAGAAACTCCGGTTTGTGCAGCAGGGGTGGCCCCAGGAACCGACAAATGGAATGTCTTGATTTCAGCTGGATGAATGTCTTTGCATCACTGATCATTGGTTGCTTTTGGAAACCTAAATGTCCATGCAAGCTTTTACAAGCAAAGGTCTGGATTTTGCAGAGGAAGACAAGCCAATTAGACAGCGTGTCCTTTGTAGCTGTGCTTCTTTGAGTTACACTGAGGACAGTTGAGGCACGAATGGTCAACTCTGCAGAAGCAACAGAAAGGAAAATAGCACCACACTGGGGAGTGTTTTCATCTGTTACATTTTTTTGTTGATATAAATAAATTTGATGTGCTGGGAACACTGAATATGGTTTTTCGGTTGTGTGAATTAAAAAAATATTTTCAAGTTTTTCTAAGTGAAACTTGCATGCACTCATTTTTCCTATGGAGGTAACAGTTTGGTTTGCTGTTTGCTGCATTCTAAACAATGCTTAGGGGTGTCCCTCCCTCCCTGCCGGCTTTCTCCCAGGCGGTGCTTTCCCCTTCCCTCCCTCTTCCCTGCACACCTGGTCCCTTCGCAAAGAAACTTTTCTGTCTGAAAAGAAAAAAAACAATGCTTAGTGCCTGTTGATGTGTTTGAGTTTAGGTGGTGGTTTATTTTCACTGGATCATTAAGTATTACAGAAGTTAAATATTTTGGTTGTGTTCTCTGAAAAATAAAAAGAAGCAACTCAAAAGAGTACTTAGAGAGTTCTAAGCAGACTTTAGATATGAAGACAGGAAACAGTTAAGTGGATCTGACATTGCCCAGGTTGGCACCAAGGTCTTTGTTCCGGCTGAAAGCTAATCACCGTTCTGTGTGCAGGAAGGTGACTGGGCATCAGCCTAAGCAGGCTCCCAGTGTATGCTTGGCTGTTTTGGAAATGGCTTCTGTGGACGTCAGGATCCTGTTGCCAGGGCAGGCAGATGTTTGGATCTATTTGCTTCAAGGAACAGACACTGGTAAATGAGTGCAGGGGAGCCAGGAAGAGATTGAATGGGCAGACGGAGCCATGCTGCAGGTGGAGTGTGGTGCTGGCTTGTGTTCCCTGGTTACCCAATTTTAAGTACTGTTATTTGTCACCATGAGATTGCGTGGCTTTGGTGGAAAACATCCATATAAATGAGAACTGAAAAATCTGATGTCATAAGGAAAGACTATTCTAAATAGGTTTCTGAATACGGAAACCAAGTTCTAATTCTCTGGTGGCTAGACCGCTTATTGAATTTTCATTTCTTTTCAGAATGAGCTTAGGAGCAAAGTTTCCTAGAGTGCAAGTGTGAATTTTCATTGATTTTTGAGACTTTAGCCATGCATTCTTTAAGCTTCCCCTCTGCTCTATCCAATACAAATAAGACACATCTTGGCAGTCTCCCCAAGTATTCCAATGGGAGAAAATCTGGCACATCTTGTGAAAAATTGCTTCCATGACTTACTGCTGAACTAACTAGGCATCATTTTCATAGGGTTCATTCCCTTGAATTTATCATAGAATTAGTTTAATCGTCCACCCTATGCGTATTGCATTTAGAATGTGTGAAACTTCCCACCAAAGAAATGAGCTGTGAACCTCCTCCTGGGGCTGGGTGGGCTTTGTCCTGTGTGTCCTGCCAGGCCTACTTCTGGGTTGCTCTCTGCTTGTCTGTGGGACTGCCTCTATGAACATTCGGGCTTCCAGTAGTGGGTTCGGCTCATGCATGCTATAGAGTGGAGGACAGGATCACAGCCTTTTCACCCTCCCCTTTCTCTCGGGGTCGCTGCTGCTGGCCCTACTCTCCAACTCTTAGGGTAGTAAGCTCTTCCCCCAACCCCCAATCTCCTTTCTCATTCTTCCTTGGATTACAACCAGCCCAGACATACCACCACACTCGGATAATTTCCCTACAGGGCTGCTGAAGCCTATGCAAGTGGTCTGTGTACCACATTTTTAAACTATTCCTGTTGACCTGTGTGCCTTGTTCTGGGACCATTGCAGACTCAATATCCAACCTGCAGAAGTGATGAGAGGAATGTTGGAAAGAAAACAGGGGCTAAGTGAGCTTGGTGGAAGCACTGATCTAAAACCCAGCCTACAGTATCTTTCAGGAATCCGGCCCTCCTCGGGGCTCATCCCACCCATCTCAGCTCAGGCTAGCTTGAGCTCTCTGGGGGTCAAAGCCCCGGGCCTCTGTGTGCCGGGTGGGGAGCACCCCCAGTTTGCTCTGGCATCGTTTTCCAAAGGTAACAGACTTGGAGCTGAAGGACATCTCATCCTGAGGGCCTCGGAATGTCTTCTGTTTGTGGGCAGCAGCGCCCACAGAATCCAGCGTGCATGTATAGGTGGACACTGCTGCTCACCTTGCAGCTGGCACGCTGTTGTAGGACAATGAGAGGACTGGTCCATGGGTACACCTGTGTCATCTCCAAAAGTGGTCCAGTTGGGCAGTCATTTATCCTTTCAAACTTTCTAGTTTGGCAATTCCTCCTTACAACCTACTTGAATCTTTCAACAAAGATAATGGAAACTTTAGGCTAAAATTTCAACTTCAGAATCTGTTTGTTTCAGATTGGTTGAGCCTGGAAATGAGTATGCTTTCTCAACAATTGAAAAAAACAAAGAAACCCCACTCGTTAGCGGTGGTTCCTCAGAAGGCCAGGGCTTTCGGTTCTGCTCTGAGTGGAAGCGGAGGTGCTCACAGAACGATGCCAAGCACCAGTGGCTACAACTTTAGTTTTATTTTGTGTGCTTTTTGTTTTAATAGGATATAAATAATGACAAAAATTACAAAATGTATAGCTGGAAGCCCAAGCTTATGTACACATACGCTCTGCTTCGGCCAAGGTGCCAGTGACTGCTCCTCTGCAGTCTCCTCTCGGTACCGTGACGCAGTGTTCCTCACCTCCTTGCTTACCGCATACATATCAACAGTGAACAGGCAAAGTATGTACAAGGAACTGTTCCATTCAAGTAATTTAATATTGTATTAAAATCCTTCAGCACTTAACTAAAAGCATATACATTTGTCAGTTTGAAATAAAATTTAGTCATTTTTCTTCAAAACTCACCAGCTGATGAATATAACTGATAATTTCGGGTTTTAAAATAACATTGGTTAATTAAAAAAACATTAAGACAATTCCACAATTTCTCAATATCGCTATAATGAATTTCCAAATGATTCACAATGTGATTGGTTAGAACAATATACATTAAAATGTTATTTTTCTCTATAATGATATTGGTATTTATATAATCTGATTCTACATAAATATACATTATGGTATCATACAAATACTCCACAGACATTAAAAAAATTAAAATACCTTAAAGAAATGTAAGTAAATTTTATTTAATCAAATAGTAAGCAAACATCTTTTTTTGTTTGTTTCAAGAAAATTTTATTACTTTAGAATTTCCTTTTTTTTTGTATTTATTTTTTTTCTAGAAAAAAAAATTTTTGCAATAGAATTCTATTAACACCTTTCTCAAGCAAGGTTTCTGTGAAAGAAATCTTGACAGCAGGAGCCCTAGATTATGTTTTTGAGCATGTTCTTTAAAACACGGTGAAGATTTAAAAAACCGTCTTGGTAGGCAATGGCTGCGTCAGTACTTCCGGTTCCAGGCCAATCTGCCTGCCCGGATATCCCGTTCTGGGTGTCGCTGGCATTTGCCACACTCGAGCCTGTCCTCTTGGTGGTAGTGGTGGACATTTAGTTATCTGAATTGAAACCAGAAACATCCCTCACGACTAACCTAGGTTTCTTATCAATGCATTAATGGTACATTCTTTTAATAAAAATATTTAATACAAGACACATTTTTTTCTGTGCATAATAAATTCCTCTGTTTTAAATCATTCTTTATATCTTGAATCAATCATTAGCTTTAAAGGTTCTCTGTATCTGACATAGTTGATTACATATAAAATCCACAAATATAGAAATTGGGGAAATGGAATTTCCTGGCAATCATAGGGGTCATTTTTTTTTATGTCCTTTTGCTTTAAACAATAGTCTGTGATGTAATGGTTTTACAGATGCTTTATGGAGTAGTTCTGGTTTTACCTTTCAAACTGCTGACAGTGAACACTAAACCCATGATTTGTATTCTTTTAGGCAGTATTAGACATCCCCTTGACTTTTTTTAAGGTCTTATCCCCAAATAAAGCCAAGCAAGCTTTGGGGCAAGAGTCACAAGAAATACCTCGGGAGGTGGCGAGGAGGGGAGCCGGGCGCCGGGGGAACCCATCTCAACTCCCACCTCTCCGGATTGGCGTCTGGCGTGTCTCGGTTGCGTTTTCCGTCACTGGTGCAGAAAGAACTTCCCCAGGAATGGCCAGTGGCCTTTCGCCCACGACAAGGCCACACTGGCAGAGCAGTCTTCCTCCTGGGCAGAGTGGAAACGGAGGCGCGAAGGAAAGCCTGCTCCGGGACAGCTTGGCGAGCAAGGCACCGCGAGGACTGGGGCACGGTGAGTATCAGAAAATGGTGGTTTCATACTTGGTATTAATTCCCCTCTTGGCTTCTTGCCCCGGCTCCACAATCCACGGCAGGTTGGCCAGAGTCTTCTGCTCAGACGGGTCGATCTGCTTGAAAACAGAAAGGCTGATGCCCGTTATCTGGCAGTTGGACCTGCTGGGACCCACGGCGACCCCCACCCACCCAGGCCCCATGCAGGAAACTGTCTCTGAGAATGGGTGTTGGCTGTTTAGCACACATGGTGGCCTATGTTTTAAACACTGTTGTATTTATTTAAAAGACACAGAGCTTCCATTGGCTGGGTCATTCCCCAGATACCTACAACAGCCAAAGGCAGGAGACGGGAATTCAATCCAGGTCTCTCTTGGGCATGGCAGGGACTCGAGTCCCTGAACTGTCACCTGCTGCCTTCCAGGATGTGCATTAGCAGGAAGCTGGATTGGAAGCTGAGTTGGGTCTCCAACCATACGGGATGTGTGCATGCTGAGCAGTGGCTTAATGGCTGTGCTAAACATTTGCTGTGTGAGGCACTAGAGGGTGGCTGTGAGCGAGATGCAATCCTTGCCTGGCAGGGCACAGAGAGACCGTGCTAGGAAGCCAGACCTTGCCCGGCTGCAGCTGTCACCCCCAGTGGTTTGCGTCCTCGTGGGAACAGACCCCAGAGCCGTCGCTGGAATCTCCCCAGCCCTGCTGGCCTCCCTGCTGTTCCCACATCCTCTGCTCTGCTACAACTTCTTACTGGACAACTGCAGGTGTATGCCCTGATGCCATTCAGGTCTCTGCTCTCAATACCACCTTCTCTCCCAGAAGCCTCACTTTTTACCCCCTGTAAAATGGCACACTGGCTTTCCTGCCTTTCACTTTGGCTTCAGCACAAAGCTTAGCACCGCATACACTGTATTTGCTCATCTTCCACTACAGCGTACACCCGCAGAGGTGGCATTTTGTCTGTTTTCATCCCTGCTGTTGCCTCCAGAACTTGGAAAAGCTCCTGGCCACCTGATAAATCATAGCCACAGACTGAGTTATGTTGAATAAACATTAGTAAAAGGATAAGGTGATGTTTTAAATGGAGCTGAAAGGTCAGCAAGCATCAGTTGGGTGAAAGCTGTGGGAGGGGTACTGAGAGAGCTGGCACAGCACCTGCAGGGCGCTCCAGGGAGGGAGAGTGGCTGTGCTAGGGCTCTGGTCAGTTCACAGAATTGGTGGCTCAAGGGGAGACAGTTGAGGGTGAAGTGGCTTGTCAGGCTGGCTAGAATCTAGTCTATATTTGTGCTCTAAAATGCTTTAGTCTTCAAACCTAGAAGGTCATGAGCTATTGCTGGGATAAGGGTTGAGTTCTGATGGAGGGCCTGGGGCCAGATCTTCCCCATGCTGCTTGCCTCACCCTGTGCCGTCACCATGTCGGGCTGCTTGCTCTGCGTGGGGACACAGGTAATAAGCAGAGCTGGGGTGGGGTTGGGGGATGGAGGGTGGGCCTCTCCCACTTCCTCACTGTGGGCTATGGGGTCCATGCCCTAGGCTGTTTCCTACCGTGTTTTGATTGTGTCTCTACAAGGCTGCTCTTTGTTTAGCAAGAAATGGAATTCTGATGCCAGTTGAAGGGGATGGATCTTGAGCCTGGTAAAGAAAGCCAGTATTATTCTCTGTTTTCCTATGTCTCAGAGAAGGTATTTAGAATATTCTAGAAGCCCTTATGGCAACCAATCCTTTATGCTTTTCCGGCAGAGGTTTATGAGGTCAGAGGAAGGCCACCGGGTGGCACTTGCTGTGAATAAGTCTGTCCAGCCCATGTAAGAATGAACTTAAGAGCCTTAAGAGATAACCCCCCCCAAAACATTCTACAGATTCCTGCCTCATTTGCAAAGCTGAAGCTGTTCCTCCCACCCACGGGGCCTCATCTCTGTGTCCAGACATTCAGTGAGCATTTGCAATGGGCCTGTCCTCCTGATGACAAAATAGCTATCTATGCTGTGTCTGTGAGATCGAAACATTTGTGCAGGCAGGCAGACAAGCCAGTGACGAGTGAACACATCACCACTGATAAATGCCAAGCAGGTGACATGCTTATGTGTGACTGGATGTCAAGAGTAGCCTGTTCCTATAGCTGAGATGGCAAGAGGGGGGTCAGCTCTGCAGAAGTCAGGGCAGGAGACTCCAAGTGGCCCAAAGGCCTCAGCTAGAAGGGAGCATGATGTACTCAAGGAATGGGAAGACCTGAGCCCCCCGAGATGAGCATGGAGGGGAAATGAAGCTGGAGCGGCTGGGCTGCGGGGTGCTGTGGTCTGACCTCTGCGGCTGGAAGAAGGGAGCTGGGAAGTGCGTGGCAGGAGGCAGCCTGGCATGGTGCCAGAGGCCACAGCAAAGTCTTGTTTCAGGGGCTGAGGGGGTGGGACTTGCTCAAGGGTTAGATCTAGTGGTGGGCAGCAAGAATGACGGTGTAGATTCTTGGTTTGAGCCTCAGGGTGAGTGGCTGTGCTATTGTGGCAGGTGGAGGAAGAGGCTGCTGTGAGGGGAGGATAAGCATGCTGTCCCAGACTGAGTGAGTTCCAGACGTCCGTGCAGTATCCTGGTTGAATCGAAAGCACCTGCCTCAGGGAGCCTGGGGCTGCAAGGAGAGTGATGGGAGCTGGCAGGTCAGGGCAGAGGGCCTGAGCAGCCGGAGCTTCCTGCAACACTGCGCTCTCCTGGGCCTGCTGGTCCACAGCACCAGGCAGCACCTGGCACCCCTCTCGGCTACTGTGGTGACAGGGAAGGGGAATTTGCTGTTCGTAGACATGGTTCCCCTAAGCCTTTACTGGGACCTGTCAGAAACCCCATGACTGCCACTTGCCAGGAGGAGACCAAGGGCAAGGAGGACGAGGAGGGCAAACCCCGGGTTTTAAATAGCACCCGTATCCAGCAGTCCCCCTTCCGTCCTAGCTGAGGCTTCTAGAACATCTGTGTCTTGTCTACTTACCACCGACTTCCGAATGCTGACGCGGGGTTTGGGGATGGGCTTGGAGGGTTTGTTTTCAAAGCTTTCTGGAAGGGTGGAGGAGTGCCCCCCTTTCCTTGCTTGCAGGGCTAGTTGGTAGGCCACTTCAAACGCCTGTCCCAGCGTCAAGATGATCTCGTAGGCTAAATTCTGCAGGAAAGAGAGAGAAAGTACTGACCCCAAGCACAAGGTGAGTCACGAAGAACATGGTGAGCACAAGGAACACGGTGTGGGAGGCAGGCCAGCTGGGGACTTGAACTCCTCCGCCCGAGGCAGCAGTGACTGAGTGGATGACTAAAAGGAACAGGTCACTTCGGGTCAACCCCATGAGGTGTCAGTGGCCCAGCGGCACTCGTGTTTGTAGCCATGACCGCCCAGGGAGGCGGTCCTACACAGAGCCCAGTGGCCCCAGGAGACGAATCTGTGTGGCTCTGCCCTCCCGTGGCCAGGAAGGGGTTACCAGGCCATTTTCAACGGGGTGCTGTGCACCTGCCCTGCTTGCCGGGATGATCCCACATACTCCACGGGAGGTGTGCCCAAGAAGCCCGGGTCTTTTTCACCTCAAACATCTGGGATTCAGTGAACATCTACGAAACACAATCAAAATCTAATTTAGGCTGAGGGGAGAGAGGCATTAGTCATGCTTGTGGAGTCTCAGTCAGCGGTGAGCATGCATTCAGGGCTCAGACGGAGCCAATTAGCCCTCTCCTTGTGCACTCTCTTGTGCTCCCTGTGGGTCCACTCGGTATTTTAACATCAAGTCAGCAAGCGCCAGGAGACCGTCAGGCTAGAGGGCGCCCAGAGGTGGGCTCTGTTGTTCAGCCCTTCTCAAGGGTTTTCTTCTCGTGGCTCCTCCACAGTGGGAGAGATCTTCCGTTTCTGCCTTCTGCAAGTGCTGCTCTGCCCTGTCCCTGCTCACTGAGGCTGCATGACTCTGCTGGTTTCCTCACACTGGGGCTTTCTGAGATCACAGCGCATCCTGGAAGGGACATGTGCTGGCTGTGTAGGATGTTGATCCCTGTGCCAGCCTCAAGCAGGACAGTCTGTTGCCAGTTGATGCCTGTCCCTGGAAGGTCTGGCCATGGTTTCCTCTAAGTACATGGAAATGGCACACTCTGAGGGCCAGCACCAGGGTGCAGCAGGCTGAGCCGCTGCTTGTGATGCCAGCAAACCATGTGAGCGCACTGGCTGCTCCCCTTCCCATCCAGCTACCTGTAATCAGTATGGAAAGGCAGATGACAGCCAGAGCTCTTGGACCCCTGCTATCCATATGGGGGAGTTTAGGCTGCAGCTCCTGGCATCCACCTTGCCAGGGCCATAGTCACACACCTTAGTCCCAAGTTGGGAACATTATTCTGAGCTTCAGAGCTCGTGGGGCTGAGGATCGACCCGCCTTGCTTTGAGCTCCTTGTTGGGAAACCGTGGTCCTGCAGAACAGACAGCTGCTAGTTGGAGAGGCTGTGCTTTGCTGCCATTAACACTGGGCCTGTGCATGCCTCCTAGGGTGAGTCAGCCAGGGAGTGAGTAACACATCAACACGGGGCAGCGGAGGAGGCTGGGAGACGGCTCTGCCTGTCCCAGTGCAGGCAGGCTGAGTGTCTCCACTGCCCACTCGTGGCACTCAGTGTCACCCTCAGCTTGGCTGCTCAGAGCTTGTGTGGGCCCCCTGGGAAGGTGGGTGGGCCATCTGACTGCTGTGGTCTCAGAAGAATGAGGTCGCAGGCCCTTAACCCTGCTCACCACTGCTGTGGAAGAGGGCTGACTCCCTCCTGGTGGGGGCACGCAGCTAGAGAGGACACTGGTGGGAAAGCATGAGATGCAGGGCTTCTGCAGCGTGCAGCTTTAGTCGTAGGAACAGCGGGGCTCCCTGAGTGTGAATTTCCTGATCATTAATCTGCAAACAAGCTTCTCCAAGTGAGATCTCCTTAGAGCTCTAGTGTCTTGAAATACAAGCCTCAGCGATGCTCACTTGAGCAACTGAGACTTTTCAGGCTGCTGCTGCAGGAAGCTGAAGGCTTCGGAAAGGCAGCAGGAGACCGAGGTCTGCCCTCTCCTTTTTAATTAGTTCTTACCATTAGAAAATGCTCAAAGGCGGCGCACGGCCCGGATTTGGGAACTGAGGCTGTCTGCCAACTGGTCTGTCCTGGGCGGCTTGCACTGTATCCCATATCTGTCTTGGTTTTGAGACTGCGTTATGACAGTCTTCTTTGAAGCTGTGTCATAGCAAGGGGCTGGGCCTTGCTCCCTCCTGTTTTTCTGATGCTTTCATGTTGGAAGCATCACCCTCCACGTTGGGAAAGGTGTGCCCACCCCGAGCTCTTCCCTGAAGAGTCTAGGTGCTCATTGGTGGAACCTAAGGCCCCACGTTGGATGGAAGACGAAGCCCTCCTGGCAGGGTCATTCCTCCTGCCGCCTGAGTGTCCCCAGCTCCTGTGAGAGCAGGGAGTGCTGCTGGAACCACACTGCCCACCGCAGTGAAAGGCACATCACTGGTGTATTAGCAGTAGAGCGTTATGATGTATGGATGTGAGTTCTGTTTGCTATAAACACAATGTGAATAGACTGCGAGGAGCCTAGCAGGTTCTGGTCGGCCTCCGGGGACAATGGCAATGAGAGAATGGGTCTAGGGGGAGAGAGGTGGCCCACCCAGGCTTATTAGGCTAGTGGAGACGGCAGAGCTCGGGGAGAGGGTGAAGCAGCCGTTTGGACATGGGAGCTGTGGCAGACAGTGCCAGGGATTGTTGGGCAGGGAACAGCACTGCCGTGCCCTGCCCAATCCTGAGCTCTGGGTTGTGAGTGCCATGGACTGGAGGCTGCTCTCTGCCATCACATTTTTGGGTGGGTTGGTCTCCCTACAGATGGCAGAAGCACCAGGCACCACTGCAGGAGGTTGGGTGGCCCCGTAGTTGGGCAGCTGCGAGGAGCAGTGCTAAGTGTAGGCAGCCAATCCTAGCGCTGGCCCCAGCCGTGGGAGGCAGAGGTCTGCGACCCGTGCTGGCCCCAGGAAGCGCTAAGGTTCCCCATCACAAACACAGCCGAAGCCACAGAGCTGGAGCGTCCTGTCGAGTCAGCGTAGTTAGGCTTCGTTTTGGTGCTGCTTCCCTGAGAATGAAGTCAAGGTCGGTTCGCTGTGTGCTCATCACCTCCCACCTCTCAAATGTGGCACCCTGGGCCATGGCTGCCCCTGTCTTCTTCAGCAGCCAACCAGTGAACATATGCGAGCACCTGTGGGCATGGTTCTGGGGAATGGGGGAAAGCTGGGCAGATGACCAGGAGCATAAGCTTGGGTCTCAGTTTTCCTCACCTTTACATGGGGCTTAAAAACCACTGACCGCCTCAGAATCTAATGACAACTAGCCAAACATTTGTCATTTGTGTGCAGTATACTTTGCTGAGTGCTCTACAGGGACTATCTGCTTGCATCTCAACATCTCCATTATGTAGGTCTAGCCTTCCTCCTATTTTGCATGTAACTAAATCGGTTGCAATTGCAGCGCTTGCTCATGGAGCCAACACCTGGCTGGGCTGGGATTTGAGGCCAGGTGTTGTGACGGGCTGTGCCTGATGCTTGCTACCCCTTGGAGCTATCCTTTAGATTCCTGTGAACATGAAGTCATGAAGCGCTTGGCTGAAGGTCATGTGCCTGTGCCTCCTGTTGGGTATGGCTGAGAGGCAGCCACCCAGCACAGAGTGTGTTTGTAATCTGACAAGAACTACCGCTCCCATGATTCTCAGCCTGCCTGTGCCCAAGATGATGCCAGGGTCAGAGGTTACACATTGAGCACCAGCAGCTGCTGTGTAGGGCATGCAGCCCACCCCTAGGGGGAACAACCCCCCAAGAGGCTACACCTAATCATCTCCACTCCTCTTCCCCAGGGACTGAGATCTGTGAGCAGGTGCAAGAATATTCAGTCGAGTGACTAATATTTTCATTAGTAGGGGACTTGAGGAGACTATATGAATGCCTGCAGTGGAATACTAGGCAGCTCCTGTGGATGGCTGGGATGTGCCTGAAAACAGTTACACTTGCATCTAAATCAGGACAATGAGCTAAAAGCGGGGTCCTCTCCAGGACAGGGGCAGTTCTAGCATCAGTATGCAGAACAGAGTGTTCTGTATTACTTGCAGAGCTGAGCTCTGAGCTTCCTGGGGACCAAGGCAAAGAAGAGAAATGCGGTGATCAGATGCTGCTTTCCTTGCAGGAGAAGTATGTTCCTCTCAGAAAGCAAAACCTAAATGACACTGAAGTTGGAGAGTGCTTTTTATTCTAGGTCCCCACTTAGGATTACTGTGTCTTGTCCACAATGGAAACCTCTAGACCACAGGAAAGTCGCCTTGGGGTCCCTCAGGGAAAGTGCAGTGCACCTACTTGGGGACTCTGGGAAGCTATGGAGACAGGGTCCCAGGGGCAGCCGGCAGGGGCCCAGCGGAGGCCAGGTCTGGGTTTGGGTCTTGGTTCTGCCCCTTTCTGTGTGAACCTGGGCAAGTTACTCAGTCTCGCTTTCCTCCTCTGCAGTGTGGCTGTGAGGGTGAGAGAATTCACAAAGGCACCGAGCCTCGTCTGGGGAGCGTGGGAAGTGGCGTCTTGTTGAGTTGCTGCATGGTTGCTCCTACAGCTGTCTCATCGCTCTCCGTGGGAATGAAATAAGGTAACAAGTTAAGCTTCCCACTGTCTCCTTATACTTCCATTCAGCCCCAGGCAGCCGATCTGTCCCAGCTGGATCTCTACGCCAAGTCAGATCCTTATGTGCTCAGTTCTCTGCACTTGCAGTAGAGAGGTTTTAGAGCTGCGGGTTAAAGGAAGAGCTGCTATTTTCAAATTCAGTTGAGTAGATGTTATGATCACTCCGGGGTTTACTTTGTTCAATCCATTGCTGCCTGTGTGGCTGACAAGGTATGCCAGTCAGACACAAGCCTCCCCATCATGTGGTGCAGATGGCCATAGGGAAGTGAGCAGAGAGGGGAGGGGGCCTGGGTGGGGCGGTTCAGGTCCAGGCTGTGAGCTGTGCTCCAGAACCCCCTGTCTGACCTCTAACGGTGCTTTGTGTTAGCATTAGGAAAGCAGTGCTAATGCAAATGTGCTTAAAGGGGCAAATATGTTAGCTTCAGAGCATCAGAAAGCTCCAGGCCCAGACCTCACTTTCCTTTGG